CTCACTATCTATATGGGCAGCTCTGAGGTTCCTTCATGAAGCTTCACAGATCCACTTTTAGGGAAGGGATTTTGGCTCAAAACTATCTGACCAATTCTTTGTCCTTCCTACCAAGATAACTGATACCTAGGACCCAGGAAATAAATGCTGATGATCTAAAAACAAAAACAAAAACAAAAAAAAACCCTTATTAAATATTATTATTATTATTTTTTTTAGACAGAGTCTCATTATGTTGCCCTCGGTAGAGTGTCATGGCATCACAGCTTACAGCAAGCTCAAACTCTTGGGCCAGCCTCGGTGTATGTGGCCAATGCCCTAACCACTGAGCTGTAGGCACTGAGCCAATTTATTTATTTTTTGAGACAGAGTCTCGCTGTTGCCCAGGTTAGAGTACCATGGCATCAGCCTAGCTCACAGCAACCTTAGACTTCTGGGCTCAAGCAATTCTCCTGCCTCAGCTTTGCAAGTAGCTGGGACTACAGGTACCTGCCACCATATCTGGCTAATTTGTCTAGTTTTAGTAGAGATGGGGTCTCACTTTGCTCAGGTTGTACTTAAACTCCTGATCTCAAGTAATCCTCCCGCCTCAGCCTCCCAGAGTGGTGAAATTATAGGTGGCACTAAGAATTTTAATTTCTCAAGTACCTTTTTTTTTTTCTTTTTTGAGACAGAGCCTCTAGCTGTTGCCCTAGGTAGAGTACCATGGCGTCACAGCTCACAGCAACCTCCCATTCCTGGGCTTAAGCGATTCTCTTGCCTCAGCCTCCCAATTAGCTGGGATTACAGGCACCCGCCACAATGCCTGGCTATTTTTTGGTTGTAGTTGTCGTTGTTGTTTGGCAGGCCCGGGCTGGATTTGAACCCACCAGCTCTGGTGTATGTGGCTGGCGCCTTAGCTGCTTGAGCTATAGGTGCTGAGCCTCAAGTACATATTTAAAATACATATATAGGCTCGGTGCCTATAGCTCAACCAGCTAAGGCGCCAGCCACGTACACCTAAGGTGGCGGGTTCAAATCCCCAGCCTGGACCCGCCAAACAACAATGACGGCCGGGCGTTGTGGCGGGCGCCTGTGGTCCCAGCTACTTGAGAGGCAGAGGCAGGAGACTCGCTTGAGCCCAGAAGTTGGAGGTTGCTGTGAGCTGTAATGCCACGGCACTCTACCCAGGGAGACAACTTGAGGCTCTGTCTCAAAAAAAAAAATACATATGTAAAGATTGTTCAGTGCAGTATTTTTGTAACAGGAAAAAAACAAACAAACTCCAAAACAATTGGAAATAACTGCCAATCAGTAGGGAAAAGAATAACTAAACTGTGGCATAATTATACAAGTAATATCATGTGGCCAAGAAGAATAATACCTTATGTTGGAAAAATCTTATAGAATAAATAGAGAATAAAGAAAAACAGATGCATGTTTATTTATATACAAATATATGAGAATAAAAAGGATTAAAAATGTCTAATATTGCAGTTACTTGTGTGAAAGAGAGTGAGAAGGTAAGGGGTAAACTTTCATGTTCTGCTACATCAAATACTGTTTTAGGCCAGGTGTAGTGGCTCATACCTGGGAGGCTGAAAAGTGTGGATTGCTTGAGCTCAGGAGTTTGAGACCACCCCGAGCAAAAGCAACATCCTGTCTCTACTAAAAATAGAAAAACTGAGGCAAGAGGATCCCTTGAGCCCAGGAGTTCGAAGTTGCTGTGAGCTATGATGATGTCATAGTACTCTACCCAGGGTGACAGAGTGAGACTCTGTCACAAAACAAAACAAAAAAAATAAATATTGTTTCAATCTTTTACAATGCTTCTGTATCTTATATTCATTAAAACAAACAAACAAACAAAAAAGGATAACCCTAATTATACCAAGTACCTGAACTGACCAGGCTCAAAACTGAACTCATTTTAATCAACTAATATCTGAGTGCCTACTAAGTGCCAAGCACTATGCTAGTTCCTGGCACAAAGATAAAGATGTCAACCTTGAATCTGAAAGGTGTGTATTTGTGGATCTGCATATGTATATGAGATTCTCATTTATATGTCATATTGAGCACTAATATGAGACAGTCCCTGAACTAAGAACTTTATATACATTACCAAACTGTCATTCATCAAAGCTTACTGAACACTTTTTTTTGGAACTATCCTCTTCTTTGTCTATAGAAAGACAAACAAATACAGACACGCTTCCTGCCTTCATAGACTTTGTAATCTAGTGGTGAAGACAGATTATTAATTAGATGATGATGCAAATATGTAATTACACATTGTTGGTAATGTATAAAAAGTGAAGATGACCCAGCTGAGGCTCAGGGAAAGCTTTCCTGAGGAAAGACTTCGTTAATCCTGAAAGATGAATAAAAGTTAATTAGCTCACAGGGGATGCTGTAGTGGAGCAGAACTGGGTTCAGGCATTTTTCATCAAAAAGAGCTATTACTTCAGAGCAAGTGACAAAACAGAACATTTTCCAGATCAAGGTATCCCTAGTTAAAGCTTCCATTCACTTACTGAAGAAGTGAAGAGGACTGAAGAAAGATATCCCTCAAAGTCTCTGCTGTAGAAATTGTGAACTGAATGGATGTTGGGAGTAAAGACCACTTCTGAAGTAAGTATGATTTCCACTCATCCACAGGCAGATCCATGCTGCTTTTAGATCTATGAAAATGAATAAGAAAATAAGAATTTAGATTTCTGCAAATGCACAATTTTAGAAAAACTGAGATTGCATTCAAGCAAACATCAAGCAATAAAATTCTTATAGGCTTTTTCTGTAGTTTATACTGTGAGGAAAAATCCATATTCTCTTGCCTATTCACTCATCTTTTCCATTCAGAAATACTATATTTAGTGAAAGCCTACTCTGTTCCAGGAACCATGCTAAGTGATGGTTATGCAAAGACAAATTCCATTAGACAGCCATCATCCTTGTTCTCTTAGACCTCCCTCTACCCCAGTTGTTCAAGTCCCAAATCCAAGAGACATGCCAGACTTTTCTTTTTAAACTCATCCCAGCAACTAGAAAGTTAACAAATATTTTTCTTACATAGTTCAGTGTTCTTTTTCAATCTGAGGTCATTCATTCAGTTCAAGCCCTCACCATCTCTTGTCTGGTGTTTTTTTTTTTTTTTTTTTAGGAGACAGGGTCTGCTCTGTCTCCCAGGCTGGAGTATGTCCAATCCTAGCATACTATACCTTGAACTCTGGACTTAAGAGATTCTCCTGCCTCAGCTTCCCGAGTACCTAGGATTATAAGTATGAGCTACCACACCTGGTGTTGTTTTGTTGCTCAAGGTAGTCAGAACTCCTGGGCTGAAGTGATCCTCCTGCTTCCCACTCCTAAAGTGCTGGGATTACAGGTTTGAGTCACAGCCTTTCTTTTCTTTTTTATTTCTGAGATAGGGTCTCACTCTGTTGCATGGGATAGAGTGCTGTGGCTTATCACAGCGCACTGCAACCGCAAACTCCTGGGTTCAAGCAATGCTCACGCTTCAGTCTCTCAGTAGCTGGTTTGCATCTCCCAGCTAATTAAAAAAAATAGAGTCTCACCCTTGGTAGGGTGCTGGGGCATCATAGCTTACAGCAATCTCCAACTCTTGGGCTCAAGTGATTCTCTTTCTTCAGACTCTCAAATAGCTGGGACTACAGGCACCCTCCACAACGCCCAGCTATTTTTAGAGACTGGGTCTAACTCTTGCTCAGGCTGGTCTTGAACCTGTGAGCCCAGGGCAATCCACCTGCCTCGGTCTCCCAGTGCTAGGATTACAAGTGTGAGCCACTGGGCCTGGCTTTTCAAAATTTTTTGTAGAGACAGGGTCTCGCTATGTGGCATAGGCTTATCTTGCACTTCAGGCCTCAAATGATCCTCGGGCCTCTGCCTCCACCTCCCAAAGTGCTGGAATAACAGTTGTGAGTCACTGCACTCGATCTCATCAACCTGCCTTCTTTCAATCCAACCTTCACACTGCCACAGATGTCAGTCCTCTGCCTTAAGTTCATCAATGCTCCTCTTAGCATATAGGGAAGGCTAGTACAAATCTGTTATTATTTGACCCCTGATTTACTTTCTAATTCTTAAGTCCCACTTCTTCCTTTGTACCCTAACATAGAGTTACGCATTGTTATCTTCATGTTTCCAGCAATATCCCTACCCTCATTTGCAGTTCACACGGTGCCTTCTCCGGGAAGCCTTCCCTTGAGGATCTATCTGTGATTCCTGCCCAGTTGGGTCCTGTACCACGTCTGTTTTGTGTTAGGGCTACTTACAACAGAACATCCTCCTCCCCCCAAAAGAAGGTGCTCTCCTCTGAGGGCGAGGACCGGGTCTCATTTACCTTTAAAGGCCCCTACAGTAACAAGCTCACGTCTTGGCAGCCGCGGTAGATCAGCACTAGGTTGCTGACCGAACCAAGTCACTGCTCTATTTTTAGCAGCAGAGTCGTCAGGAAACTCTCTAATTCCCTGGGCCACCAGTCCGTCTACTCGCCAAAGACCGAGAGGTACATACACCCAGCGACCGCTCACAACGGGTCCGGAACTGGGGCGCTGGCGCGGTAAGCCGCATCCGCTTCAGCCTTGGCGCGCCCCTGGATCAGGCGCTCCGCCCCCCCGCCCAGCCGTCCGGCGACTAGGCCTGGAGCCCCTTAAGGTGCAGGTCACGTGGGCCTCTTGCCTGGCGTAGGCCAATGCTGAGTGTGTTCAGCTCCTAGGCCCGCCCCTGTGTCGAGAGCACGTAAGGGGCGGAGGTGGCGCGTGCAAATGCTCGGCCAATAGTTGTGCAGCGCGCGGGACCCCGGTAGTGAAGCCCGGGCTGCCCAGGTGCCAGAGCGCGGGAGTTAGTGCTGCGGAGCCATGGTTGGCCAGCTGAGCGAAGGGGCCATTGCGGTAAGGAGACTCCTGGGAGCCTGGCCGGCGGGCCAGGGTGGCTGCGGCCCGGAGTAGAGAACGGAGTAGAGAACGGGCTGGGGAGCTGGGGCGATGTGGAGAGAACACGAGAGGAGATGGAGAGGGGCGGTGGGGGAGCCGCTGGAAAGTCTCCCTGGTTTCCTAACCTTCTCAAGAGTCTTGGGATTGTCTTTTAAACATGCTCACGTTTTTCCTGCTTAAGACAACAAATGTTCTCTGTACCCTTTTTCCCGCCTGCAGCCACTCTTTGTCTCTGCCGCTTCACCCAGGCACACCCCAACTTCTCTAGTCCGTTTTCAGCATTTCATTTTTTCACCTCCCGTTAACTCTTTACCCCACTAAATCAGTCATTCTCCTGATCGCTATTCAAAGAAGTCTGGCCAAAGTTACCAGTGGCCTCCAACTCTCTAAATCCAACAGACACTTTTCAGGTTTTCAGCTTATCAGAGTTCTCAGCAACGTTTGAGCCTGTTGAGCCTTGCTTCGTTCTGAGAACACTCTCTTCTTTTGGTTTCAGGGGCTCAGTTTCATTGGTCTTCCCATCTCCTTTGCAGGGCCCTCTTTGTGAATTTTTGTTGGCTGAGGCTTGACTGGTTGGAGGCTTGGCTGGAGGCCCTCTTCTCCAAGGGCAATTTCATTACCATCTTTATGTCAGTTGCTCATAAATTTACTTGTGCCGAGTCACCTTTACTCTAAAGGACAAACTTCAGTAATCTTCCTATTCCATGATATGTCAAAAGGCATATTCAGTTCAACATATGCCAAAGCAAGTCCGTTGTCTTTCCCAAGTCTGGGACTCTTGATGCTCTCCATCTTGATGAATGACACCATTGTCTGTTAAGTTGTGCTAGCCAAAAATTGAGAAATCATTCTTTCTACATTCTTCATCACTCCGGGTGTCCAGTCCATCACAAAGTGAAGTATAATTTACTTCCACATGGACTTTTAAAAAATATTTATTTATTTTTTTGAGGCAAAGTCTCACCGTGTTGTCCTTGGTAGAGTGCTGTGTTGTCACAGCTCACAGCAACCTCCAACTCTTGGGCTTAAGCGATTCTATTGCCTCTGCCTCCCAAGTAGCTGGGACTACAGGCACCCGCCACAATGCCCGGCTTTGTTGTTGTTATTGTTGCAGTTGTCATTGCTGTTTTAGCTGGTGGAGGTCAGGTTCAAACCCTCCAACCTCGTTATATGGGGCCAGAGCCCTGCCCACTGAGCCACAGGCACTGCCTCCCACATGGAATCTTTTTTTTTTTTTTGGCCGGGGCTGAGTTTGAACCTGCCACCTCTGGCATATAGGGCCCTACCCTTTTGAGCTACAGGTGCCACCCTCACATGGGATCTTTTAAATCCACTTATTTTTATGTCCACACTGGCATCATCATTTCTTGCCAGGGCTGTACACATCTATTCATGTCTGCTCTCACTGTTCCCATCATGCATATTCCCACTTGTTCTTGCCTTCTCTTAAATTAAATTAAATTTAAATTATTTTAATTTAAATTTCTGGTATTACCCATGTTCTTGCCTTTCATAGGGCCTTTTGGATATTCTTTTCCCTCTGCTTGCTCCCTGAGTGATTCTTCACTTCTCCCTTCACGGGCTAATATAATCTTCAAATCTCAGCTCTTTTGTTACTTCTTCAGACGTCCTTACTAGATTAAGTCCCTTTACTTTGATACCCTAATTCCTGTTCGTTCATTTATTCGTTCATTTATTAGATATTACTTTGGGAAAGATACTGATCTGTTTTCATCTTCTGTAAGATTAATGATACTGATTACATAAGGTTAGTGGGAGGATTAAGTGCGTTATTACATTTCAAGTGCTTAGCCGATTGTCTTATACGTAGTAAAATCTCAGTATGTGTTACCTATTACTAATTACAGGTATAATTCTACATTTATTTGTTGATTTGGTTAATAGCAGTTACTTTCTATTTCCCTCACTAGATCATCAATTCCATGAGGCCCTCAATCTTGCCTGGGTTTTTTTTCTCAGTATATAATCCCTAATACTTAGAGCAGTGCTGGCAAATTTCAGGTGGCAAATAAATGTTTGCTAGTTACATGAATGAATGAGGCAGTAGAAAGAAAAGGAAAGGTGAATGGGGAAAAAAAACAGCTTGGTGGTACCCAAAATAGGAAGGGGATGAAGAAGAGCCATTGTTGGAGTCAAGTGAATTTTGTTTCTTTTCTTTTAGAGACAGAGTCTAAATTTGTCAATATCGGTAGAGTTCCGTGGCATCATAGCTAACAGTAACCTCAAAATCTTGGGTTTAAGTGATTCTCTTGCCTCAGCCTCCCAAGTAGCTGGGACTGCAGGTGCCTGAAGACAGTCTCGCTCTTGCTCAGGCTGGTCTCTGAACTCATGAGCTCAGGCAATTCACCCACTTTGGCCTCCCAGAGTGCTAGGATTGCAGGTGTGAGCCACTGCGTCCAGCCCAAGTGAATATTTAAATAAATTAGAAATGTATGAATGGGCTCGGTGCCTGTGGCTCAA